CTGTCAGCACAGAACCCAACATGGGGCTTGAACTCACAAACCATGAGATCATGACCTGAGCTGAAGTCAGATACTTAACCGACTGAGCCACCCAGGTGCCCCTGATAACTACAGCTTTTAATATAAAGTCCAGGCTCCCACTTTTCTTGACCTCTAATGTTGGAAAATCCCAGGACTAATCCTTGAATGTCCCCTACATACATTCATTTCCTAGGTTATCTCATCTAATCTCATGGTTTTAAATACCATTCATATGCTGAAGACTCAAGTTTATACCTCCAGCTCCAGTCTCTTAATTAAACTTCAGACTCACGAAACTGCCAGCTCAGGATCTCCAACTGGACAACAAATTGGCATCTGAAGTTCAACATTCACAAAACAAAAGTCTTAGCTACTTTATACCTCACACCTGCTCTTAATCCTAGTCTTCCTACTCCCCCATAATTGCACCGTCATTTATCCTCATAATTCAAGATTTCAAATCTAAGAGCACTGATTTCTTTCTTTCAAACCACATATGCAAACCATACTCAAATCATGTCAGTTCTACCTAAAGTCAAATCCCAAGTCAAACCATTTCTTTCCACCTTCACTGCTACCACCCTGTCCAAGTAACAATTGTTTTTTGTTTTTTGGTTTGTTTGTTTTTTTTTTTTTTTGCCTGGATTATTACAAAAGTCTTCTATTTGGAATCCCTACCTCCATTCCTTCCTGCCAATGGGCAATTCTCCACTTAGCAGCCAGAGTTATCCTAAATATAGAGTTAGATTATGTCATTCCCATGTTCTAAACCTCCACAGTTTCTCATCTCAAAATAACATCAAAATGTCTATTGATGTCTTCTGCCCATTTCTTCATTGGATTATTTGTGTTTTTGGGGTGTTGAGTTTGATAAATTCTTTATATATTTTGAACACTAATCATTTATCAGAATGTTTTCAAATATTTTCTCCCGCTCCGTCAGTTGGTTTTTAGTTTTGTTGATTGTTTCCTTTGTTTTTATTTTTTTTTAAATGTTTTATTTATTTCTAGGAGAGAGAGAGAGAGAGACAGTGTGAGCAGGGGAGGGTCAGAGAGAGAGGGAGTCACAGACTCTGAAACAGGCTCCAGACTCTGAGCTGGCAGTCAGCACAGAGCCCGACGCGGGGCTCGAACCCACGAACCGCGAGATCATGACCCAAGCGAAAGTCGGACGCTTAACCGACTAAGCCACCCAGGCGCCCTGATTGTTTCCTTTGTTATGCAGAAGCTTTTTATCTTGATGAGGATGGAACTAGAGTGTATTATATTAAGTGAAATAAGTCAGTCAGGAAAACAAAAATATCATATGATTTCATATGTGGAATTTAAGAAAGAAAACGAACACAGGGAAAGGAAAGGAAATAAGATATAAGCAGAGAGGGAGGAAAATCTTAAAAGACTCTTAAATACAAGGAACAGGGTTGCTGGAGGGGAAGTGGGTGGGGGGGATGGGCATAAAGGAGGGTACTTGGGATGAGCACTGGGCATTATATATGAGTAATGAATCACTGGGTTCTGCTCCTGAAACCAATACTATACTGTATGTTAACTAACTTCAATTTAAATAGATAAATTTTTTTAAAAAACCTGTAACATCATTGGGGCGCCTGGGTGGCTTAGTCGGTTAAGCGTCCGACTTTCGCTTAGGTCATGATCTCGCGGTTCGTGGGTTAGAGCCCCGCGTCGGGCTCTGTGCTGACTGCCAGCTCAGAGCCTGGAGCCTGTTTCAGTCTGTGACTCCCTCTCTCTCTGACCCTCCCCTGCTCACGCTGTCTCTCTCTCTCTCTCCTAGAAATAAATAAAAAACATTTAAAAAAATTAAAAATAAATAAATAAATAAAAACCTGTAACATCGAAATGTCTTACTGTAGTCACAAAGCCCCATATCATATGGTCCCTAGCTGCTTCTGACTGCATCCTTGACCTTACTGCACCTTACTGTAGCCCTGTAATATTGTCCTTCTCGTTCTTCCTCAATACACCATAACTTCCTCGATGCCTCTGTTCTTTCCAGGATCTTGACAGTCAGTCAGGATAAGTGAGGTAACCTTGCGCACAGGTATAGTAGATTATTCACTTTTGTTTTTCCACTACCTAACTTGGTAAATGGCATATAGTGAAACTCAAAGATGTTTTTGGATAAACAATAGGTCTCTTAAAAAATTGGACATTTTAGCCAACCATCTGGTTGGAATATGAGCTTATATTATGGTAGAGTTGCCAAAAACATCTAATATTACCTAAGGCTGTATTAACAGAAATATATTGTTTACAGAAAGGCAGGTCTTACTTTCTCTAGTCAGACCACTTGACTCCAGGTACCACATATTAAGAAGGCTTTTCAATCACTGGTACATTTCAGGCAAAATACATTTCTCAGAGGAGGTAAAAAAAGAATGTTGAAAGGGCTGGACTGTGCCCTGTGAAAACCCATTAAAGGAATTAAAGGAACTGAGAATCTTTAATTTGATGTATACTTACTTGATAATTGAAGTAGAGACATAAAAGCCCTCCCCAAATGGCAAAAATTGTGCCATATGAAAGAGGGGGTTATGCTTATTCTTTTTAGCTAGAAAGGAAAGAACCAATTGTAGGAGTTTCAGAGAGGAAGGTTTTAGTTCAGCATAAGGAAGAATTGCCTACCACAGTTTTCCCAAACCACTGTTTTGTAGATTACTATACCATTTTAGGCTAAACAAAGTGATTTCTGTCTTTAATGCAGGATTTCTCAGAATCTTTACTATGGAAGAGGATATATGCCTCATTCCCAAAATGTATTTGTCCATAGAAACTTTTATTCACAGAGCACTGTTAACTTCTCTTTAAACAACACTTCATAGAAGAGATTGAGTTAAGGCTGTTCAAAAATAAACAATATCTTCTGAAGGAGTAGGGTCAGGTTTACTGGAAGATATCTGGAGAAACTGAATGGTGTTACTATCACCTCAGTATTTCTGAAACCATGGTCAGTAAAACTAAAATATATAACACTGGGAAACTGGAGTGAATTCTATTATTTGTACATTTACTATGTGGGACACAACACAGTTCTAGGTAAGAATAATGGAGCAAAACCAATGGAAATGAGGCTCTATAGTCCAGTGGTTCTGAACTTTCTTCCCTAGAAATACACATTAGTATGATATCCCCATGTCTGTCCACTGGTTCATTCACTGTGTGCAAGGTAATGTTTTTGACCTTTTTCATTCACAAACAAACAAAAAGCCCTCATGTTCTACCACTTTTGTCATCCCCTGACAGATTTTAATGGGATCTTTATATGGGGCCAAGCCCCTCCACTGAGCATCACTAAGCTTAAACCTAGAGTGTTATAACTTTTTTTAATAAACAGGGAATTCCAAGGCCTAAATGGAGAAATGGCATTTAAAGATTATAGAACTGATGAATGGATCAAAAAGATTTGGTACATATATACAATGGAATATTACTCAGCCCTTAAAAGGAATGAAATCTTACCATTTGCAATGATTTAGATAGAGCTAGAGATTATTATGCTAAGTGAAATAAGTCAGAGAAAGACAAATACCATATGATTTCACTCATATGTGGAATTTAAGAAATAAAACAAATAAACATGAGGGAGGGAAAAGAGAAGCAATCCAAGAAACAGACTCTTAATTATAGAAAACAAACTGATGGTTACCAGAGGGAAGGCAGGTGGAAGAATGAGTTAAATAGATGATGGGTATTAAGGAGTGCATTTGTGATGAGCACCTGGTGGTGTATGTAGTGATGAATCACTAAATTCTATATCTGAAGCTAATATTACACTGTATGTTAAATAACTAGAATTTTAAATAAAAATTTGGAAAAAGAAATTACAATTATGGGAAAGAAAAATAAGAAAGACTATCAAAACATATCCACTACTTTGAGGCTGAAATGGGTAATAATAAAAAACAGGAAGTTTAATTCATAAAAATACTGTTGTTATTAAATATCTGTTGTATGGGGCGCCTGGGTAGCTCAGTCAATTAAGTGTACGACTTTGGCTCACGTCATGATCTCATGGTCCGTGGGTTTGAGCCCCGCATTGGGCTCTGTGTTGACAGCCAGTTCAGAGCCTGGAGCCTGTTTTGGATTCTGTGTCTCCCTCTCTCTCTCACCCTCCCCTGCTCACACTGTCTCTCTCTGACTCTCAAAAAAATAAAATCTGTTGCAATAAGCCATAAATGATGTGATTATAAGAAAAAGCTGGGCCAAAAGCACTGAAAAGGCATGGATGGAAAATTATAATTAGTGTCCATACAACTGTCCACAGGAAGGCATAATCCAGCTGAAACATTGTAGTCCCTAAGAGGAATGTGTATTGTAGAAGAATGGCTCGACAGGATTTATTTTTTTTAAGTTTATTTATTTATTTTTGAGAGAGAGAAGGGGAGTGAGAGAATTCTAAGCAGGCTCTGTGCCTTTAGTGCAGAGCCTGATGCAGAGCTCCATCTCATGAACCGTGAGATCCTGACCTGAACCCTAATCAAGAGTTGGACTCAACCAACTGAGCCACTCAGGTGCCCCAAGATTTTTACAATTTATACTTGTTCTTGATTTCCAGAACCATGCTTACCATATTTAATTTGGTTTCCAAAGATCTATCAGTATGAATAAAAGGGTATTTGGGTTAGTAGATAAAATACCATAATTATCAGAAAGATGTATTTCTTCTGTGTATTAATAAAATGTCATTTGTCTCCTACCACCTGTACAGAAAATTTACTAAAAAGATCTTACCAACACTAGGTAGCTGACAGGCCAGCCTCTGAATCAGATTGTACCAGACATACCAATTCATGAGGTCTTAGTGAATAGTATAATTATATTGCTTATGAAGAAACTTGAAATACCCTTTCTGTTATTCTGCAATTTTGCCCCAGGAATGAGCACCTCAAAAAGTGGAGTCATTAGTTCTAAAGGACAAGTAAAGGGATTCCTACATAACTTTGCATAGCCCCAGAGACTAATTTCAATTATACATTTGTGTTTTTAATGGACATTTAGAAATACCTAGCCTGCTTTAGCAATACTACACAATATTTAGAGTTTAGTAACTTATAGGAAGACAAAGAGTCTCAGGGGAATTGTACTTTAATGTACTGGAAAACCCAGTCCTAGAACTGTTTCTATCATAGGAGAAAAGTGTAGGAGATCATCTCAGATACAATGCTACTTCTCTTCCCTAACCAAGTAGGAGAAAAAAATGCTTTAAGATGGGTGATGGCCAAGACCAAAGCCAGAGATTGGGGTCTGGACGGAGTCCAAGGAGGCATTAAAGCTTTGTCTTCTTGATCTCCAGGTTGATCATGTTCTCTTGGGTATGGGGAATCTGCTTATCTGCTGGCTTCTGTAAATCCTCTGGCTTTATAGGAACATAGTAGTAGCCCATGATGGAGAAGATCAGGCAGACCACCAGCAGGAGACAGGAAAACAAAATGAATTCTGCCCACTGCAGGAAGAAATAAATAGAAGAATATGGAGAAACTTGAAACTAAATGGATCTTCATAGGATGAGCAGATTGACTCAGGGTCATCAGTGTAGGCAGAAGTTTGCTAAAAGAAGAGTGGGTTCACTGGCTTCTCCTCATATAGGCCTATAATGGCCATTACTGCCACTCTTAGATGTCTATTTTCCTGGCCAAGTCTGTTTATATCTAGCCCATCTCATGCCACAGCACTGAGTGGGAACATGAGGGGCAAAGAGATGGGGGAAGAGGGAGGAAAGGAACTTGGAAGGGAAACGTGGGTAGACAAGCTCCTGCTTCCATCAGATCCATACCTGCACCAGGCCACTGAACTGTGCCACAACAAGCACGATGATATTCCCAACTGCAACTGTCAACAACCAGGCTGCCTGGAGTACAGATTTCATGCTAGAGGGAGCCTAAAGAGGACACAGGTTTGTGAGTAAACAAACTTCCTACACCATCCATATGACCCATGCATCCAGAAAACTTCTCCCACAAAAGCTTCCAAATTTGAATTCCTGCCCCCACTGCACATTCAGCTATGATGTTTGATTCAGGGGGTGGCAATAATGTTAACAGTAAAAATAAGATGGAGCTCTTAATTGAATATTTTAATTGATTATACCATATAATCTTGATTATACCCTAAGAGATAAATTTTATCAGTATTCTTATTTTATACATAAAGAAAAATAGCATCAGAGATAATTAACTTGCTCAAGTTTTCACAATAGGTTGCACTGTCAGTATTTGAACATGGGCAGTTTGACTCCACAGTTCTTATTCTTAAAAAATTTTTTAATATATTTTTTTTAATTTTTATTCATTTTTGAGAGAGAGAGAGAGAGAGAGAGAGAGAGAGAGAGACAGCATGAGCAGAAGAGGAGCAGAGAGAGAGAGAGGGAAACAGAATCTGAAGCAGGCTCCAGGCGCTGACCTGTCAGCACAGAGCCCAATGGGCTGGAACTCACCAACCATGAGATCATGACCTCAGCTGAAGTCAGATGCTTAACTGACTCAGCCACTCAGGGACCCCTAGAAACATTTTTTTATGTTTCATTTTTATTTTTGAGAGAGACAGATCGTGAGTTGGGAAGGGACAGAGAGAGAGGGAGACACAGAATCTGAAACAGTCTCCAGGCTCTGAGCTGTCAGCACAGAGCCCAAACTCGTGAATCACGAGATCATGACCTGAGTGGAAGTTGGATGCTCCACCAACTGAGCCACTCAGGTGCTCCCAAAGTCCTTATTCTTAAAGTACCCTTTCCTAGATCCCAAACAGCATCACCTACTATGCTGCACTGACATGATCCTGGGAGTCAAGATGACTCACTGTTCAGGGTCATAATGTAAGGAATCTAAGGCCAAAAAATATAGAGGTCTTGACCAGGATCACATACCTATTTAAGGTAGTTCTAGGATTAAAACTCATCCTTCTCTGAGGATATATCCACCTCCACTTTTCACTTGCAAAAACTTACCTGAGAATAAGAAAACTCAAGTCCTGTGACAGAGAACATGACCTCCCCAGCTGTAACCAGGGCATATTGTGGTAGCTGCCATGCAATGGACAGTTTGTTGGCTGGAATGTCTTTCATCTTCCAGGCCTGAGGACCCTGATTGGTGCTCTTAGTGAGGGAAAGAAGAAATGGGCTTATTAGTAGCAGCAAGTAAATATTTCTGACCTACAGCATTTTATGATCTTATATCCATCCCCTTTTTGTATTTTCATCCTTCAAAGAGAATGAAGAAATTCTATAGAATTTCAGTTTTTGAAATTCCTTTTGGTAATACTTGACTAACTTACCAGGCTTCAGTCAATCAGATACCATTATTGACTAAGTCCTTAAAATGGCAGAATATTTTGATATTGTAGTTTGGATCTCCATCATTTTGACCTATAGGTATTTTGATCCTGGCCAACATTTTATTTTTTTTTAATTTTTTAAAATGTTTATTTTTGAGAGAAAGAGAGAGAGAGGCAGAGAGAGGAGGAAACACAGAATCCAAAACAGACTCCAGACTCTGATCTGTTAGCACAGAGCCTGACCCAAGGCTCCAGCTCATGAACTGCAATATCATGACCTGAGCCAAAGTCAGATGTTTAACCAACTGAGCCACCCAGGCCCCCTGACCAATATTTTAAATATAAAATGGCATCTAAATTATATAAACACAATAAATTTTCAACATGTTCTTGAGAAAGTTTACTTCCTTGTCCAGTTTTCTATGTAAGTACAATTAAACTGTTTTTTGACATTTTTCATTAAAATTTTTATTTTACTAAAATTACATTTATCAAAATTAATTATTTTCTTACTATACCTTACATTAGACATTTTGTTGATCAACTTTTTAAAAAATCTATATCAAATACTGCCTGCTATTTTTAATTCTATTTACTGGCCATTTTTTTTCTTTTATAATTTATTGTCAAGTTGGTTTCCATATAACACCCAGTGCTCATCTCAACAAGTGCCCTCCTCCATGCCCATCACCCTCCTTCCCCTCTCCTCCCACCCCCATCAGCCCTCAGTTTGTTCTCAGCATTCAAGAGTCTTTCATGGTTTGCCTCCCTCTCCCCAACTATTTTTTCCCTTTCTCTTCCTCCATGGTCCTCTGTTAAGTTTCTCCTGTTCCACTTATAAGTGAAAACATATGGTATCTGTCCTTCTCTGACTGACTTATTTCACTTAGCATAACACCGTCAAGTTCCATCCATGTTGCTACAAATCGGCCATTATTTTTTAACTCAAATTTCACACATCAAATTATGTCAAACAGAGACAATTTGTCTGTAGAATTTTGGTCAAAAAATGTTTTTTCAGGGTTGCTTTTTTTTAAAAATTAATGTTACCAAATATACGTGATTCTATAATCTTCATTTCTTTGTCTGCAGGTTTTTAGCTATGATTGGTCTTATTTTATATAGTTTATATCCACTAATATTTGTTATAAATGGAATAAAAATTCACATGTACTTTTTGAAGTGAAACCATTATTAGGTAGTAGGTGTAATATCTAAAGTATAGTGTGATTAAAATGTCAGCTAAAACAAAAAGATTGAAAGTCCTTGAAATCAAAAATGTCTGACATCCAAATGTCCTTCATTTTCTAATTCAAAGGGTCATTATGTTCAAAATAGATAAATTTTGCTTCAATTGATATTATGAACAATACATGGTCATATGTTCGGGTTTTCTTAGGCTAATAGAAGACCATGACCTAAGCTTCTAAATCAAGGTCTCATACTCAATACCCACAGGCAGATAATTAAGAAAATGAAGCAGGCTAAATGGGAATGACGGGAGCTGTGGTAAAGTGGATAGCACAGGCCTCATATAAAGGGCATAGCCATTACAGCACTAGTCAATTCACATGGTAGTACTTGTAATTAAATCTTCTGATTTTGTTTTAAGAAACATTAAGAGAGGAGAGGAATTAAGATGGCAGAGTAATAAGGGAAGCCTGGGCTTGTCTTGTCCCTTGAACACAGCTAGATCAGCATCAAACCATTTTGAACATCTAGGATATCAGTCTGAGGATTAACAATCTACATAATTTGAGGGAGAGAATGCGGCAGGTATATGGTGAAGAGAGGTGAAATGGGGGAGAGAGGAGCCATGGTGCTGCAGAGGGGAAGGAAGCCATTTTCACAGAAAGGAGTAAGAGAGGAAGAGAGAGAGGCACATTGGATTTGTGCAAAAAAGCACTCCTGAAAGCAGTTATAGGGAAAGAGTAAAAACACGCACAGGGAACTGCACAAGTAAACTGTTCCCTAAAACATTGATGGGAAGGGGGGAAAGGAAAGGGTTTCAATACCACCAGGTTTTTATATATATAAACAGTCTCAAGTTTCAGAGGTCAGCCCCTGGTGGTTCTCTGGTGAGGAAGCAGGGCAGAACCCTGGGAATGGGCAGCATGGTCTGAGGATCCCCTGGGTTGCAAAGGGAGAATGGGTTCCCCTTCTTGGAGTGCATTTGGTAGAGGTGATACCGTCTCCAAGGGCAAAAGACACAATGGGCATCATCAAGCTGCCACATTCACCCATATAAAAATAGAGACTGCCTCAGGGCAGCAAACCCTGGAGTGGGCCGTGTGTTGCAATTTACTGTAAACTCTGAGCTCCTACTTCTGCATGGTGGTACAACCATTTCCTGGGACAAGTGGGCCACAGTGCAACAAGACCCTTTTCTCTAGAACTGTGGGAGTCTCTGAAGTGTGGAGTTTTGAAACATTGCCATTCCTGAGATAAAACTCTGGAGGGAGGCACTTCCTGGTAGTCCGACAGCTGGGAGACAGGGGGAAGGCAGGGAGCTGATGGATGCAGGGGACACAAAAGGGGTGACTGATTGCACTGTCTGTGAGGGTACAAACTTCCCACTCTGGAGACTAGGGAGTGGACGAGGGCATTTACACCATTAGAACACAAACACTAATCAACTCCAGTGGGCTAAACAGTGCCACCAAGTGGAGAAAGGCGCTGTTACACCAAGACCCTCCTCCCTGTGCCCGGAGGCACATTTCCACTAGGGCAAGTAGGCCTGAGGTCAGAGCAGCAGGCCCCTCCTGTAGAAGACCAGCACAAATCCCCTTCCTGACCTTAGTCTACTAACCCCAGACTGCTGCAAAGTTTCAGTTATACGGGAAACTGGATCTAGCTTCATTTGTTTTGTTTGTTTGTTCGTTTTTTGTTGTTGTTCCTTCTGTTTTTCTTTTGTTGTTAAAAATCCAGCTTCTTATGTGAAATCCCCTGAATTTTAAGTATTGTCAATTAATAATGATTATTACTACTTTTGTCAGTCCTGTTCAGGCCAAACAAAATAGGACTATGGAAAAAACTGGGCCCCCAGGCTCCATTTTATGATGTCTACTCTAAATGCTTATTAGATCCTGACATTCAGAAACAATATATATGACTTCTATCCTGAGTAGCATACAAAAACAGAACAAACAAAAAGGGGAATAACAACAAGAATACAGTGTTATGGGTTGAATTGTGTCCCCTTAAAACTCGTATGTTGAAGTCCTAACCCCAAATGAGTTCTAACTGAGAATGTGACCTTATTTGGATATAGGTTGGTTGCATATATAATTAGTCATGTTAAAATGGGGTCATTAGGGTGGGTTATAATCCAATATGGCTAGTATCCTCGTAAAAAAGAAGAAAGTTGGACACAGACAAGCATACATGAAGAATTTCATATGAAAATGAAGGCAGAGATTGGGGTGATTCTTCTACACATCAAGGAATACCAAATGTTGCCAGAAAACCACTAGAAGCTAGAGGAGAAAGGTATGGAAAAGATTCTTCTTCACCAGCCCTCAGAGATAACCAACCCTACTAACACCTTGGTTTTGGATTTCTTGCTTTCATTACTGTAAGACAATAAACTTCTGTTTTTAAGTCACATAGCTCGTGTACTTTGTCATAGCAGCCCTGGAAAACTATCACTAGGTTGTTTTATTATCTGAACAATTAATTAAGGTAATTAACAAACAAACAAAAACCTCAACAAACTAGAAATAGAAGGGAACTTAATCCAGCTAACACACTTAGTGATAAAAGACAATGCTTTCCCCCCAAGAAAATGTCTGCTCTCACCACTTCTATTCAAGGTTCAAGCCCTGGCAATTGGTTAAGAAAAGGAGATAAAAGACATCCATATTGAAAAGGAAGAAGTAAAGCTATATACAGATGACATGGTCTTATATGTAGAAAGTCCTAAGGGATCCACTAAAAAAAACTATTAGAACTATTAAATGAATTCAGTAAGGTTGCAGGATACAAGATTAACATATAATTCAATTGTTTTTCTAGGGGGTATAGCTCAGGAATAGAGCATTTGATTGCAAATGTTTTCCTTGCAATGGACAATTGGAAAATGAAACTAGAAAAGTGATTCCATTAACAATAGTATCATAAAGAATAAATACTTAAGAATAAATTTAACAAAGTAAATGTAAAATCTATACTCTAAATACTATAAACATTGCAAAAACTAGGTTTTAAAGAAGATCTAAATAAATGGAAAGAGATTTCATGTTCATTGATCAGAAGATTTAATATTGTTAAGATAGCAATATTCCTTTGAATCGCCTACAGATTTAATGCAATCAGGGTCAAAATCCCAGCTGGCTTCTGATTCTAGGCTGATCCAAAATTTTATCTGGAAATGTATAAGACCCAGAGGAGCCAAACCAATCTTGAAAATAAAGAATAAAGTTGGAAGGACCTATACTTCCTCATTTCAAAATTTTCTACGAAGTAACAACAATCAAGTGTGGTACTGTCACAAGAATAAACAATAGATTAATGGAATAGAATTGAGAATCTAGAAATAAGCCCTCACATTTATGGTCAACTGATTTTTGACAAGAATGTCAAGGCCATTTAATGGGAAAGAATAGTCTTTTCAACAAATTGTGCTAGGACAACTGAATATTCACATAAGAATAGCTCATACCATATGCAAAAATTAACTCAAAATGGATTAATGACATAAATGTAAGAGTTAAAACTGTAAAACGCTTAGAAGAAAACATAGGCGTAAATCCTCATGACTTTCGATTAGGGAATGGTTTCTTAGAGATGACATCAAAAGCACAAGCAACCAAAATAAAAATAGATAAACTGAACATAAAAATTAAAAACACTTGTGTTTCAATGGATACCATCAAGGAAGTTAAAAAGTAGATGTGTTACATCTATACAATGGAATATTACTTAGTAGTAACAAGAAATGAAGCACCAATACATGCTACAACATGAATGAACCTTGGAAAATATGCCAAAGAATCCAGACACAAAAGGCCACATATTATATCATTCTGTTTCTATTATATGCCGATAGCCAATGTTATCTCTTTTAATGTCCCTTATAAAGACCATAATGTACTCTTCTAAAGTCACAATAGAACCCATTACTTTACACTAGAAATAAATATGTGACCCTGCCCTGACACACAGTTTTCTTTGGATCCCAGGATAAATACAGATACAGATATAGATATATAGCTAAAAATATAGATACAGATATATGGAAGGAGAGAGTAGGGGTAGTCATGAGTTACTTACATTAGTAACAACAAACAGATAAGTTGTACCAAAGTCTAGCAGACCCATATTCAGTGAAAAGTCCTTATCTTCTGTTCTACAATGTACTGCAGGGTATCTGGAACAGGACAATTTTAGTTAATAAACACCACAGCTTTTAGAAAAGCATTCCCATCTCTAGGGAAAGAGTGACCTCATCTTTCTATTCATGGTGAGTCAAGCAGCAAAGCCACCATTTCTCTTTGAACAGAAGTCTCTAGGAGTGATTGATTTTAATGCCAGGTTTTTCTGACCCTGATCTGAGCTCTTCATTGCCTGTCAGGTATTATTATTATTATTATTATTATTATTTTTAACATTATGCCTGAATAAAGAAGGCACAAATCATCTTCTGTTGTGGACTTCAGGCCCTAAGTCTTCTCATCTTAGCCTTATGAATTTTTCTCATCCAAGCCTTATGAATTAGTGAAATGGTATAAAACAGGAAACCTGAGTATACTCAAAATCAATCCCTGCACCTATATGCAAAGAAAACATTAAAAAAATTGTTGATAAAAGTAAAATGTCCACAAGGGTAATTCTCTTACTCTCCACTTTGTACAGTTGTGTAAGCAGACACACCATAGTCTTCACCAACACTGAGGAAGATATCTGTAGCCAGGGAGATGTTGACCTCTTTGTGTAAAGTATTAACAAACCTAAGGGTAGAGACATTGTCACACATCAGACAAACCCTCACAAACAGAGACACCTGTTTACCACTATATCCCCAGTGCCTAGAACAGTTTTGGCACACAAAATGTACATAATATATGTTGTTAAGTGGATGAATAAAGGAACCACATATAAGAAATAATCAGTAGTCTTAGCTATCCTGAACTTTCTCCTTCTTGAGGTATTAGCCATCTATCTGCAACACCCTCACATAATCTCTAACAGGGATGGGCACTATCATGATCATCCATGGCAATCTGTTTCCTCACTAATCCAGTTTAGGTGCATCCAATTTATTTCCCTCTTATAATGGGATTCGTCAATTGAGACACCACTAAGAAAAATAATTATTTATAAATATATAAATATATACTAGTTTTTACATAAAACTCATACTTTATCCTCTTACATATGAAGTGTGATTTGTCTTGTACAAAACTCAGACTCCCAGCCCTTAGTAGGTTATCATTTTGGAATCTGCAGATAATACTGAACCCTTTCAGAATGACCTTTTTAGTCTCCTGGACCTGGGTTCCTAAACTGTTTCCTCAGTATGAGTTTTGGCATTTTGATAACTTTTGCCCTAATCTCTGGCTCACAAGATAAGAAGGGAAGTTTTCTCTAGAACCCCTAATGTTGATTCCTGCACTGTAGATAATCCTGTGCGAACCTGGAAATTTCCTTCAATCTTTTCTGGAGGTTCCTCTGGTTCTTATGGCTCTCTGACACAGGAAGTCATTTCCTCACTATTGCCTTACTTATTTTGAGCTGTTTACTTTTTCTAAAGCATATTCAAAAGCAAATTATTAGGAAGGTTCCACCCTTCAGCAAAGTTCAGACATTTCATTAAAAGTTCTCCTCTAAAGTATTATTCTCAACAGCAAGCACCTAATCTTGATGGCCATAAGCATATGCATCTCTCTATTTCATGCCTGATTCCTGCTACAGAGACCAGTGACTTCTTGGGTGCTCTATCTCTGTAACTTTCCCTGGCCACCTGACATGATTTTTAGGCTAGTCTGGATTCAAAACCAAAGTTATTACCTTTACTACACCATGGGGCTTCTATAGGTTTATAAAAAACTACACTTTGCTTTAAAAACACAGTAATAATAAGAGATATTCAACTATCTACCATGAAGGGAGGATTATTTGCTCACTTCTAAATTTTTCTCTGGTGATTACAGAGAGGGAAGTACTCAGTTACTTTCCTGAGAGCAAGATAAGTGGATAAAATTCAACAACAAGGGATGTATACATCAGATCACAGGGGGGCATATACAGATACAGGGTCATCTTTTAATACCACAAGCCTATCAGCCTCTCACTGTCCTGGAAAATGCCTCTGATACCCATGCCCTTCATATTATAGGAGAGAGAATCCCTGTACAAGACAAATAGAATGTGAGGCTACTTTATCTGAAGCCCCACAGATCAGAAGAGAGACAACAATTCAAAGCAGAGTGGCCTGGGGTCTCGACATCCAAACCTCACAGCTGTCATCCCATTGGTTGTTTTGCTTTCTTCATCCTTCACCTATAATAGAGGAAAGTAAAAAACAGTTACAGGTGACAACAAGGAACTGCTAATCAGAAAATCTGATCATCAGTCATATTTGGTAAGATATCAATGAGTCAGCCAAAATAAGATAACAATTTGGAACCTGAGCCATTCCTCAACTTACCATCTTGCTGGAAATATTTTTTCCATCTTCTCGAATGATCAGACTGTACCAGTTCTTTTCTTCCACAGAATGTTTAGTGTAGACAGACATATTGTGATATTTTAGGTAGAAGTGGGAATCCTGGCTTTTTGTCTTCAGGTGGAGTTGGGCATAGTATGGCATCTTCTGTAGAATGAAGAGACTGTCACGCTCACCTTCTAATCCATTGTAGACATCACAGTCTCGCAGGATCCCAGGGCAGATGAGCTCATCAGATACTTTCAACTTTGCCCTTTAAACTAGTAATCCTATTTTTAGGAATATGCTATATGAGAGTAATTAGAGGCATGCAGAAATATTTGAGTAAGGATGTTCATTATAGGATTATATAGATTAATTTAAAAAAACCTTAAATACCTATAAGGAAATACTTCAGTAAACTACGATATATCCATAAAACAGAATTTCCTATGTCCATTAAAATCATATTCTCAAATTACCTAAGGACACAGAAGGATATTTATAGCATTATTAATGTTAAAAAAATCAAAGTTCAGGGGCGCCTGGGTGGCTTAGTCGGTTAAGCGTCCGACTTTTGCTTGGGTCATGATCTCGCGGTTCGTGGGTTCGAGCCCCGCGTCGGGCTCTGTGCTGACTGCCAGCTCAGAGCCTGGAGCCTGTTTCAGTCTGTGACTCCCTCTCTCTCTGACCCTCCCCTGCTCACGCTGTCTCTCTCTCTCTCTCCTAGAAATAAATAAAAACATTTAAAAAAAATCAAAGTTCAATACAGCATGTAGAGTTTGAGTAATTTTTAGAAATTTGTTTATTCATTGATACAAAAATGCTAACTGATCATCTCTGGGTAATGCAATTATAGGTGAATTTTATGTCTTTCTACATATTCTTCAGTTTTCAACAATAGATGTATGTTACTTTTATTATTAAAAATATTTTAAAATAAATACTTCAGAATATGTATAGTAATAATAGTGAAAATATACAAGCCAAATCCAGAGGATGTGATATTAGGAAGCAGTTTGAAAAAAAAACAATACAAATGACAACCCACGGAGAGCTTACAATGTTCCTGACACTAAGAGCTTTACATATAATATTTATCCTTATGACAGCTTGTGGCATAAAAATTATTGCTATTTTACAGATGTTGAAACTGAGATTTAGAGATAAAATGGCTTGTCCAGCGTCTTATAGCTAGGGAATGGCAGAACCAGGAATTGGACTGGGGACAGTTTGACTCCACAAGTCCATGCTTTTAACCACTATATTATGCTGTCACCTTGATGCATAATCTGAATGTGTTTCTTTTTTTAAATTTATTTTTCTAATTTTTTAATATTTTTATTTATTTTTGAAAGAGCGACACACAGACAGAGGTGAGCCAGTGAGGGGCAGAGAGAGAGAGAGAAACACAGAATCCAAAGCAATTTCCAGGCTCTGAGCTGTCAGCACAGAGCCCTACATGGGGCTTGAACTCACCAACCGTGAGATCATGACCTGAGGCGAAGTCAGGATGCTTAACCAACTGAGCCACCCAGGCACCCCTGAATGTGTTTCTAATTCATTCAAGTCCATATCTCACCTGAAAGGATCTGATGGACTCTTCCAACAGAGTACTGTTTTCATCTCCCAGTACTGTCACCTTCACCTCATCATCTGCCAGATTCAAGACTTGCAGGAAAATCTCTTGAGGACCAGGCTGCAGGGGGGTCATTCTCTTAAGACAGAGAATGCATGTCAGAGTTACCAATGAGAACACATTATCTCCATCCTATCTCTGATAGCCTAGTCCATCTAGTCAGGACAGTTTTCTCCCAAAGAGCATTTGGCTTAGAAAATTCTGAAGGCAGTTTGGAGGGGGAAACACCAGCTCAGTGTAGCAAGCACTGATGCTATGTAACAAACTCCATGCTTTTTGACTCAGCTGTGGCCTCATAAGTGATTCCTCAATAATGGCTGTTCGATCTGCCAAGTATTCAAAAGCCTTTGTTCCCAAAGGGATGATTAGATACCTTGATTATTAGTGTTTGGGAATTCCTTGACATTATACTCTGAATGACTCAGGTGGTAGGTGGGTTTCATTTTTCATTGCTATTCTACTCCTGTATCTATTCGTTTACAACAGATAGTTATGATGCGCCCTCTTTAGAACAGGTACTGTGCTAGATCCCAGGCAACCAGGACTGAACAAATCAGAAGAGTGAATACCATAGATATGGTCTTGCCCTCATGGAGCTTAAGATTTATTGAACTCACATTAATTTTGATCTCTACAGCTGCTGCAACTGCAAATGCCAGGCTTGCTAGGATCATACCAACAGCCATTTTCCTAAGTGATCTGTGGAGGAAAGGAAGAGACAATTATATCTAAACTTTAGATTCTAAAGGATAAAATCTAAACCCTCTAAGCCTACCATTAAAGACCTTTCCTGATTTGGTCCCAGCTACTCCTTACACTGAACAGTTCTCTGTTAATGCATCACATTTTCCTACCTCAACTTTTGTTTATGATGGTCTTTCTATCCATTATGTCATCATAACAAAAAATAATAGTAATGCAGCCAGATATATTGAACATTTGCTATATGCCAGGCACTATACATTATTACCTCATTTTCTTCTCATAAGTCTTTCTTGACTCTGTCAGCAGAAAGGACTCTCCTTGCTCTATATTTCTCTGGCACTTTGCTTCCCTTCTTACTGCACTTAATACATATTACATTGTATAATAATTATCCTTGCATGTGTTCTACCTCCCTTACTAAACAGTGAACTCCTTCAGGGCTTGGTCTGTGCAGTTATATTTGCATGGCATTGGTGCTGAACTCAATAATATCTGCTCAATTAATGAGTAAATGAAAAAAGACCATTTGAATATGATAATGTGGTTATCAAAAAGAAATTGCTATTAAATCAGGAATTAGAGGAGGCTTAACAATACTTCTGTCAAATTTACAAAGAACAACACTTCTTTTCTTTTTAAGTTTTTATTTATATTCCAGTTAGTTAACACACAGTGTAATATTAGTTTCAGGTGTACAATATTCAATATTTCCATGCAACACCCAGTGCTTCTATTTAGAATAAGGGGAAAGCAGTAATTAGGGACAACTCTATTCCCACTCTTACCAGGTACCCACTTTGTTTCATATAGACAATAGAAGATTTAAAAAGATTAACTGTCATCATAGCCTTTAGACTTTGAAGAGGCAACATTCAAGAACAAAGCAACAAACTTATTTATGATTCTATTCTCACATACTTTTGACTTCCCATGAAGCTTAGATCTACCTCTTCAACATTACACGGTTCAATCGGCAATAATGGTTTGGACTCTCTATAATAAGAATAAGTTAGATCAAATTCCCATTCTCCAGTATCAATAGGCATTTAGTTTAACTCAAATACATAGGAGCAGAAAAATCATAAACCAAAACAAATAATAACTAAGTAGAAAAGTACTGACATTGAACCATTATCAAGCTGAGCAAATATTAAGTCACTTTAAGCAACAAAGGCATAGTGAGCACTTACGAGAGGTTAATTCCACATTTGGAAACCAGCCGATAAATGACGAGGTCAAACAATGGAATGAAGATAAGAACCAGAAGGGGATTTAGTACCTGTAACACCATGGTGAAAAGGATTAATCACATGTATTCTTCTACCCTGAGTGTAAGTATGTGCTCTCATTTGCTTGTGTGTGCTCTAACATTCAAAAGTACTTTTATCATACTAAGTACGGAATGATTCCTAAGTATGGAATGATTCCACCTCTCTCAGTCCCTTTACACCCAGGGCTCTATTTGCCCTGCATAGCACCTCAGCTTCTCAATATCCACAGAACCAGTTTTACTCTGAACCTGTTTTTCTGTCCAATCAGTTGGGAGTTCTTCCCTTCCATTTTCACTTATCTTCTCCTATTACACAGCCCAAGGGAAAATGTCAAGGAGAAAAGGAGAGAAGAATTGGGAATTATTAAACAAGGGTTAAAAAAAGAACTGGGAGTCACCAAGTTGTGTTTTACTAACACAGCAAAGCCTTACATTTTATTGGACAATATTTCCAAAATACTGTCTTAACATGGAAAATAATATCCAAGCTTATACTTTTCCTGTGAGATAAAAATTCACTCTCCTTGGAGCTGGGCAGGATGTGTGGGGCAAAAGGAGAATATTTTCACCCCTATCCTTAATCCTCTTCAGCATACAAGGAAACAAAATCCCGTTATATTTGGTAATCCTAATACTACAGGTAGAAGTATAGATAAGGAAAGCCATAAATCCCCATGAGTATAGAGAAAACTCCTACCTGCATCTGGTCAGGCTGAAGCACAAAAACACCCTGAAAAATTATAACAAATTACATTTGGATGGTGGCTAACGACAAGAAAAGTTTAGATCAAAAATATTGCTAATTAGTAGGAGAGATACATAAGATAAAACACACCAGGTCTTTAGTTCAGGGCCCTGGTTGTGCTTCTAATGGTATTTGGGGAAACAGGCTGGGAATGGTTTCAGGCAATGTTTGCCACAGGCAGGCAGGCCTAAAGGAGAATTTTATTTTTCTGTGTACTATGGTTTTCTTGAGAGAGAACAGAGTCAGTGTTTTTGTTAATTTCAGTAACTGCAGTTGTAGGTAAGAAAGTGCAGGACAAGATGTCACGGTTAGTGTGAAGATTCCCACTAACACAGTGCTTCCAAAGTTGTTCTCCAGGGGGTCAACAAGAAAACAACCATAGTAAATCCTGGACAACCAGAGAAAGGGAAAAGGGAAAATTATATTTGGCAGGCTCCAAATAGACTGGTTAATAAAATCTTAACATCATTCCACCATGCCCTCTTCACAACTGAGATGCTAGAAAAACAATATAATAATCTAAGCAGAACAAGTGAGAGCCTAGAAGAGACTCTGAGTTTGCTAAAAAATGGAGATTGGAGAAACAAAACAATGTTTACAACTTTCCCATTCCTTGTCCATATATAAAGTACCATACTTCTAGGTCTCTTACATGAGCCTGAGATGGGCTAAATGTGTAGTGGCACCAATCAAATCTGAGTCTACTATGCCCCAGGAAGGCTTAGATGGGAGAAAACATTCTCTATTCCAAGTCTGTATCATTTCATTTACTCTCTTCTCGGTACTTCCTTGTATACATTTAAACCTTTCCATCGTTATATTCCTGATTTCTAAAGACAAGATTCTGTTTTTTATTTCTAGACTAGCTTTTTATTTATTTAATTTTAATTTTTAAAATATAATTTATTGTCAGATTGGTTTCCATACAACATCCAGTGCTCATACCAACATAGACTAGCTTTTTAAATTTTGCCTACTCAGTACCTTTATGTTGAAGGCACCTTTCTTATGATCTTAAATCAGTTTTGGGGCAAAAACACAAGAAATTAATTTTTCCCTTATATGGATTATAAAGAAAATAATAGATTTCTCTAGAAATTCTTTTCTCACCAGATTCCCATTCATCCTCGTGGCTTGTAAGGTCCATCGTGAGCCCTAGGGCAGACAGATGCTATTATGAGAAATTCCTTTCCTGTGAGAGGAAAGGGGCTGAAATAAGGGGTTGCTTTCAAGAGAGCCATTCTTACCTGCTGATCCAAAAGAGCCCAAAACATGGGCAATGGGATATATAGGAATAGTACCCTGGTCAGTGCCTTCACATCCATAATGAGCTGCTTCTGTAAGAAAGGGGAAGAAGGAACAGCCTGAATTTCTAGACTTGGTTTTCTTGCTTAGAGTAGAACTGTCCCAGAACAGTAAGGGAAGAGGTCACATGCAGCAAGAGGGAATCAGTTTGGTCATTGAAAATCTCCATGGAGGCATAAGATGTTTCTGCACTTCCAACTTACTGGGTATTTCTCAGCTGCCCAGTCCAGCCAGTGCTGTCGCTTTGGAATGTCCCCAGAGTGGTTGTTGAAACGATTGGAAATAGCAAACTAGGGCAGAGCATAGATATCAGAAGAGTGACAAAAATAAAACATCCCGTCCGTGCCTTTTCTAATTCATTATCCTTTCCCTCAGATACACATACTTTAATTGACTTACTCCAACCCTTTGATTTCTTCAGACATTGAATTTGGAATATTTCAGATATAATTTTAAACTACCCTTGTATCCTATTGGCAACATATATCACGTACACACACTTCAGAAGATCTTTGCCAAATTAAAAAAATTGTTACATAATTTTTTTTTACTATGGTTAAGTAGAGGCACAAAGGAAGATGGATTAATCTCAGTTTGCCAAAAGGTGCAGAAATGGAACAGAGGTCACTGGGGGAAATGTATACCCATGTTTGAAGGCCTATATGCTCAGCATAGCATCTCCTTCCCATTGGTTGAAAAAAGGCAGGTAAACAATTCAGACTTACCCAGATACACTTGACAACTTGAGTCACTATGTTTCCTTCTGGGGGTGGTTTTCTGTATATTTTACTTCCCATTGCAAACACAACTGCAGGTGATACACAAACAAGATTCTTAGCTTCTCATTTAGCACATACAGTATTTCATTACTAAGGACAGCCTGCTGAAGTGTTAGGAGTGACTGGCAAAGCTTATAAAGTGAGGGGGCTGGCTTAAGCTCCCTGACTTTGGAATTACACAAATTATGGGAGCCCAGACAAGAATAAAATGGTCAATTGTTAAGAGAAGTAATCTGTTGAGACTTTCTTGTGCCACAGAAATGGAAGTCATTTTTGAATTGTCTTTTCTTTCTCCATCTCTCCATCTGATATGTTACCAACTTTAATTGAGACCCTCATCAATGTTATTTCCTATCTGTCCCTCTTTTTCATTATCACTGCTAAGACTCTTGTTTAGGACTTTGCAACCTCTACCCTGGATTATTAAAATGGCTACCAACTAGTTTTTCAATCCCTGCTCTCTTCCTTCTCTTATCTGATACCACATTAAAACTTTCTTTCTAGGACCTACCCACAAAGACCAAACTCCTGGAATGAAAGCCCTTCCCAAATTCATTATTATCCTTAAGGCTATTATGATCACTATCCGTCTATTGAAGGTTTATTATTATATGGTGTTCAGCATTTTATATACATTAACAGATTTGACCTGAAAAATTTGTACTACTCTCTCCATTTTATTGCAGAAATTGAAGATAAAAGAAATTAAGCAATTTGTGCAGATTACATAGGTAGAAAATGCCAGAAACTGTATTTTTGACCTGAGGCTTGTCTGACTCAAAAATCTCTGCTCTTAACCACCATAAAGCATCTCATTTATTCATTCTTACACTACACACTTTGCTAGACTAAAAAAGACATGGCCTCTGTGGAGCTCACCTCAATTTACTGTTTCCACTTTATGTTTCATTATTTTCCATTAGGTTCTCTACACTCTAACCAGTATTAATCATTCTTACAAAAATAATTCTGTGCTATTACTGTACTTGAGCTCATTCTCTTTTTCTTACCCCATATTCTTTAACTACATCTCCATAGTTAATTGTAAGTGAATTTTGTTTTCCTATTTTCTTTCTATTTTCCAACTTACCAGCAAATTAAATGATATTATGTTTATAATTATGAAATAGTAAATATTATTTTTTCAAGTTTATTAACTAAAATCAGCAGGAAGACTCTATCTTGGTAGCATACCAGATGTATTTCCCTCCTTAATGAATGGATTTCCCAGCTCCAGCAAGATGTCCCTCTACAATGTCTTCTACCAAAGGAGTCTTTGTCAATGACCAGTGGCACTTTCCAGTATCTTTATGCACAAGAATGCCTGAGTCCCCTTACTTTTCCTTATCCCAACTTTCTAGCTAACTAAGAGTTTCTTAACTCTCAGTCAGATTCAGTTTATCACTTTTTCTTTATTAATCCTCTCAGTTTCCCCAAAGCTTCTCCAAATAGCACCCTTTACCTACCATAGGCTTCTTATTGTTGTCAGAAAAAATGGTTAAAAGAAAGGATGCTAATCCTGGGAGACAAGTGGGCAGGTAAAAAGGTATCTAGACAAGAGGAAGACTTTGGAGGGGGAAACAGACCACTCCTAAAACTAAGAATGATCCTAGAAAGAGGCTAGAAATCTCAATGGAGTGAACAGTAGGCTGATAAAAAGAAGGCCAGGTAATTAGCTGGATAAGATCACACTTAAATTTCAAAGCCACTTAACTGAAGAAGGGGAGTAGGAACCTTAAGTTTCTCTACTAGTTCTTTCTTGCAGTAGATGATGTTGCCTCCTACTTCACAAAGAAAACAGAAGCCTTCAAATGGAAATTGTCTCAACTTCCTGCCACCAAATCTATTAACTTCTATATCTAGACCTATCCTCTTCTCCCTCCAGTTAGTTGAAGGTGATGTTCCTCCTCTATAGAAAGGTAATTCTGCCACGTATGCTTTCAACTGATTACACTTTTTCTCACATCTTCAACCTCTGTCTCTACTGGAGTCTTCCTAATGATATTCAAGCATGCCCAACATCCTCTTGATGTCCCATTCAGCTATACACACCATTTTCCCTTTTTTACCTCTTATTCACTTCCCATTCTACTTTAATTGGTCTTGAATCCACCAATCTACCATAACTGATATCACCAAATTAGTGACCTTTTTGTTGCTCTATTCAACAGGGATTTTTGTCCCTTATCTCACTTTCCCACTCAGTAACATTTGTTACTTTAAACAATTCCCTTCTTGAAATCCTCTTAGAATCCAAAATAGAACTCTTACCATTTTGGCCATTCCTTCTTAGTCTCATTTGTGAGCTTTTCCTTTTTGCTTATCTTGTAATACTGGTATTCCTCAGGGCTCTATCCTAGCCCTCTTTTTAGTTTAGTTTTACTATCTCTTAGTTATTTAATCTATTTTTATGCCTTAATTGTTCTTCATAGACTACTAGCTCCAGATCTTTATCTACAGCCCAAACATTTCTTCTGAGCTCTAAACCTGTATTTCCAGATAGCTCTTTGATAACTCCAATTAAATTATGAAAGATCTAAAACGTAGTGTATCCCAAACTGAATTCATTAGTGTAATGATCCCACTATCTATCTAATTGCTCAAGTCAGAACTCTAACATTCAATGTTAATTTATCTTCTCCATCACTTCACATTTCTAATTATATCAAGTTTTGTCAATTTTACAAGGGCTGAGACTAGTCTGAGGTGAGTGAGACACTCCCCTTGAGCACAAAATTTAAAATAATGCCAAAATTCAGTAATCAAGATAAATAATATCCTTGCTTTACCCTTAACCCATTCTTTCTCCACATTATAGTCAGAGACACCACTGAGAAATAAAAATCTAACAATCATTCCTCTGTTCAGAATCCTTTTGTAGCTCCCTACTATTCTCCTGATAAAGTTCTAATTCCTTAATGACTGAAAAGGTCCTTCGTTATCTGGTTTCTGTCACTTTTTCCTCTTTATCATTCACATTTATACCCAGGGCAATCTGGAATTCCTCTAAGGCCTTCAGATATGTCACAATTATGACTCATTTCCTTGTCCTACAGATATATATCTTCTTTAATTAACTGCTGCTAAACTTTTAGGCCCTCACCTTAGATACCATTTCTTTAGGCAAACATTTTCTGAGCTTCAGAGTTTAGTCAAACATCCCTCCCCATTCCTACAACTTTTTCTGTGCTTCCCTCATGTGACATTGATCATACTATATTGTAAATTCTTGTTTACTATGTCTGTCTCCCTTTTCCTGCTGGACTATATAAGTTTTTTGAAAGCAAAACTCTGTGGCTCTCTAATCCACCAATGTGACCCCAATTTCTAGCACAGAATTTGACACATAAAAGGTTCATTAAATAAATGTTTGTTGAATCAATGAATGAAAAGAATAGATGAATAAATTTATAGTGAAAGGCCAGAGAATTTATTTATTCGTACCCAGAAAACTGAAGCAGCTGACTAATAATGACAACTAACACTTGTTTAACATTTCATAATTTATAAAACATTTAACTTACAGCATCTCTTTTGATCTTATAATTATTCTGATATGTTAATAGTTTTATTGTGCCATGATCCGGAGAAGGAGACATAGCACTAAATGGAAAACCAGGACGATATTTGGGAAAATGTTTGGCTTCAAATGGAGAAGGAAGCAGGGAATGTATCATCACAGCTCTCCTGGAATAACACAGAAGTTTCCTTGGAACTGGAATTAGAATCTGAGTATTACTATTAACCACCCCCTGGTAGAAAATAATCAGGATTGAACATTGAGTCTCTGGGTTCTTTCTTCCTCTACTGAGCTATTTGTGTTGTACTGGATATCTTCCAGGGGGGTGTCACCCAAAGGCTCAGAGTGAGAACAGGTTTCCAGGTCAATGATTAGGAACAATCACGTCCAAGTTCCCCCTTAGACTGCATAAACTAAGCAACACACACATCCTTTCTCCTCTTCCCTTATTGGGCTCAGTGGTAAGGACAATGGCATTTGATCTAAGTTGCATCAGTTTTCACCTACTCATCCCACTCCCCTCATTCTCTTTGATCAAGAGAAAACTCCTTGGGAGCATTGAAGAGCAGGGCAGAAAACAGCTAAACCTAGAAGCTACGTTAAAAGAATTAAAAATATATTCTAATTACCAGATAAATGACTATCAGATAAAATAAGCTAGTTTGAAAGAAAGGATTAATTATCTTCCTTGCTTCCTTACATATTGTAGTGTAGAACAGTGGATCTCAGCTTTGACTACTCATTAGAATCACCTAGATATTTAAAAAATTATAAATACCTAGGCTCCAAGCTGCAGAAATATTGACTTAATAACTCCAATATGAGGCACAGGGATTAGTCTTTTTAAAAGCTCCCCAGTTATTAGTTGTGTAACCTTGAACATGCTTGCTTGTTTCCTTCCTTCCTTCCTTCCTTCCTTCCTTCCTTCCTTCCTTTCTTTCTTTCTTTCTTTCTTTCTTTCTTTCTTTCTTTCTTTCTTTCTTTCTTTCTTTCTTCATTCAGTTTCTGACTTCGTTCAGTTAATTCATCTCCAATGTCTAAGGAAAATCCATACAATAACACTTACCTAATGGGGTTAGTATGAGGATTGAATGAAATAGTTTGTGTAAAGTGCTTAGATGATGCTTTTCATGTAGCAGGCATCAGTGATTATTAATTTCCTCTGTCCCAGTGCACTTACCAAGAGCTATCACCATTAGTAATCCTGGAACTCCAAAAGCCAATGCATAGCAGTCTTCCCCAAAACACTGCACATCTCCTAGGTCAAAAAAAAAAGTAACCTTGAATCTTGAGTCTTTGATGTTCTATTTTGCAACCTCAGGTTTGTGAGGTTGTAGACATAGCCATCCTCTTTCTTCCCATCACCTAATCCATAATCTTTCTTTTAGACCAGATAAATATCAAGATTAAAAGAAATTCTCAGATTTTCAAGCTCTTGTAAAAGTAGAGAATGAACAGCAGGAAGCCCTTAAAAGATTTTTGACTGGTCAGAGGAAAACCTTACACAGGCCCCTTAGAAAAGATTCTAACCTCTCAGCATGGGTGTGATAAATGTAGAAATCAAGCTCCCTGCATTGATGGAGAGGTAGAAGACTGAAAAATATCTAGTCCGTTCCTCTGCCTGAAAAACAAAAAAAGCAAGACAACTCATCAGTGCAGTGTGCCTCCTAGCTCACATCTACCCTATGTTCAGTCTAAGCTGGAGGTACATACACAGAAACAGATTCAGATAATGTCTCCATGATATCTGAAAATCATATTAGATATTTTAACACATAGCCCATACAAACATTTGCCCATCTTTCAAACCTAGTACAAGCATCTTTAACACTCTTATACACCTCCTGGACAAAAAATGATCATCCTATAAACTATGCCACTTGTGTCCTGTATATGTCTGTCTTAGTATTAATTTCTTTGCATTAAATGTTTGTTTTATTCAGAAGGCTGAGAGTTCCTTTAGAGCAGAAATCACATCTTGCTTATTTCTGTATTCTCTACTACCTAGCATAGTACCTGACACATACTACAGACTCAACACATTTTTATAGACTGAATTAATTAAGTAAATGATTGAGTTAAATAATAGATTTTATGGAATGTGTGATATAGGAATAGTACTAGAACACAGGACAGTGTAGTTTGGTGAGTTCCTTATAGATTTTGGATATTAACCCTTTATCTGATATGTCATTTGCAACTATCTTTTCCCATTCTGTTGGTTGCCTATTAGTTTTGTGGGTTGTTTCCTTTGCCGTGCAGAAGCTTTTAATCTTGATGAGGTCCCAATCGTTTATTTTTGCTCTTGATTCCCTTGCTTTGGGGGATGTGTCAAGTAAGAGGTTGCTGCGGTGGAGGTCAAGGAGGTTGTTTCCTGCTTTCTCCTCTAGGGTTTTGATGGTTTCCTGTCTCACATTCAGGGATGAGCACTGAGTGCTATATGGAAACCAACTTGACAATAAACTATTTGTAAAAACAAAAAAACAAAGTACCCGATCGAGTCTTTATGAAGAATAAAGAAAATAATGAATGCAAAAAAAAAAAAAAAGAAGAAGAACACAGGACAATGGATTAAACTGTTGACCAAGCAGGGTAGTTCACCTAGTAATTATGGGAAGTCTGCCAGAGATTATAAAAGGAAGTATGCAGGCTTAAAAGTGATTGGTGGAAACTTGGAGGTGGGGTTTGTCTTATTATTGAAATATTATTGTGGAGCAGTTACCAAATGAAGCAACTTTAAAATAAAATTTTGTTTTTTTTTAATTCGTTATGCTTCATTCTAGCACCACAGATCTTTTCCTGACATAGTAGCACAACATGTTCTTCTCTATTTTCGGTTTACAGTGTTTGTTTCCTCTTCTGGTTCCCTTTTAAATCTATTCCACTCACCTATTTGTACAGTTCATTGTGCATAGAATCCCAACGGTTGCCAAAGGTCAGTATTTCTCCAAAGTCAGCAAGCAATTATGATCTATGGTACCCCGGACAGATAGAGAATATAAAATAATAACTCATGTGGTCCGAAGGGGAGGAGATACACAAGAAGCAGGACACAGAGAAAGAACAGAGGGAGAAAAACCAGAAACATGAGAAATCGCTCTGGACAAGGGAATAATACCTGAAGACAGACAAAAAAGAAAACAAAGAGCAAAAGAAAGAAAGCCAAAAATGTTGCCTATTTAAAAATAGACTATTTTCGGGGCGCCTGGGTGGCTTAGTCGGTTAAGTGTCCGACTTTCGCTTAGGTCATGATCTCGCGGTTTGGGGGTTCGAGCCCCACGTCGGGCTCTGTGCTGACTGTCAGCTCAGAGCCTGAAGTCTGTTTCGGTCTGTGGCTCCCTCTCTCTCTGACCCTCCTCTGCTCACGCTGTCTCTCTCTCTCTCCTAGAAATAAATAAAACATTTAAAAAAAATAAAAAAATAAAAATAGACTATTTTCCCTGCCTAATTATCACGCTTCCTCATTTGGGGCCATTTGTAACTTATTAATAGTAGTCCCCCCCCCCCAATTAACAGTGGAAAGTAGGAAAAGAGGGAATGACCATTCAGACAAGTTCATCTATAGAATCTCATTCTGTTTTATTTTGAATGATCATTTCCCCCTTTCACAGGATTTCAGCCAGAGATGCTTAGATCATCTCTACACTGCTAATTACCTCCCATTCCTGAAGCACCTACAAAGTTTCTTCTTCAATACTTCAAGTGACAGTAAACTCACTACTTCAAACTCTATTTGAAGTTTTTCCTTCCATCAAGCAAAAAGTTTCTTAAAGCTTTCACCGACTAGTTCTGGTTTGATTACTATCAATACCCATAGACTGTTCCAATATATTCTCTTTAATTCTTATTCTATCCAGGCTGAATATCTCCAATTCTTTCAACCTCTCTTCATAAGATGTGTCTTAGTCCATTCACCACCCTGGTTACTTTCCTTTGAACATGTTTCAATGTTTCTATTAATGACCAGTACCCAGCACTTAACAGAACTCTTGACCTGTGGATTACTTCAAGCTTGGCAAATAGCTACCTGCCAGGTTCCTTTTTAATTCCTGCTATACATTCTTGAAAACACAAATAACAGGGCTCTTACATGTTTTTCTTCAAACTGGTCTCCACCAAAAGCTGCCACGCAGGGCTTGATACCTCCTGTCCCCAAAGCTATTAGACTCAGGCCAACCAATGATAAGACTCTGAAATGGAGAGGTAAGTATATAACCATAGTGATATTAAACACAACTGCAGAAACTGGATGTACAAGAGCAAAGATTCCCTTCACATTTCTTCACATTTCTTTTTTTTTTTTTTTTACTGATTTATTTATTTATTTATTTTTTTTACAAATAGTTTATTGTCAAATTAGTTTCCACATAACACCCAGTGCTCATCCCCACAATGCTCTTGTCAGCATTCAAGAGTCTCTCATGGTTTGCCTCTCTCCCTTTCCCCCACCATTTCCCCCCTTCTTCTCCCGGTTGGTCCTCTGTTAAGTTCCTCCTAGTCCTCCTATACGTGCACACAAGGACACTTAAAATATTTATGACCTTTAAGCCTTTGCCAGAAAGTATGCATTGCACGGGGGCATTTTGTCCCTGATAGTTCCATTTATCCTTTGTGTGCAATAGATAGAGGCAGATACTGAAGGAATTCCAAAGTTAAACACTGTTCTCAATCTTGTCTTAATGTAAGGGATATACCAACAGAAGGACCTTATAAACACCTATCCCATATACCCTTCCTAACCACAAAACAAAATATTAAAATTCTTTATGATTAATAGGAGAAGTGTCACTGTGTTTGATGGGACACCGAGAAGATGGTATCTAATATTTATTAAGTTTTAAAATTCTTAATTCAGGGGCGCCTGGGTGGCTCAGTCGGTTAAGCGTCTGACTTGGTCTCAGGTCATGATCACACGGTTCATGGGTTCGAGCCCCGCATCGGGCTCGCTCAGAGCCTGGAGCCTGCTTCAGATTCTCCCTCTCTCTCTGATCCTCCCCTGATCACGCTGTTTCTCTCTCTCAGAAATAAACAAACCATTAAAAAAAATAAATAAAATAAAATTCTTAATTCATTGGATAAATACATGTATAGGCACATTATAAACATGAATACATATGATCTACTTCTGGAATAACTGTAATCCTCCTCTCTACCGACTGAATCAACTGACATCAGTATGTATCAAATGCCTCTGGCCTGATAAACATCAATGGCTTAAGTAAAGAGGGATAGAGCAATCGGAATATATGGAACTTAAATGGAAATAATCCAAGCTTTGAATAGGATTCCTACAATATACTATAAGGAAATATTATGCACATTTTAGTCCTAGCATAGTACAGATATATGGGTGGGTGAATAGGTGGGGAAATATGGGGGGCATCAGGTTTTAGTTATTGTCTTCAAGCGTATGATGAGTTTTTATGAAAAGGAAACTAGCTAGGCATTCTACAAGTCTCCAAATGTTTAATAAAAACAAATGAGGACAGATAAAGTAGGCAAGAGTTCAACTGGTCATAAAATAATTTCTCAACCATTTTGGTACAATAGGTTGGAAAAGAAAGGGTTATCTCTGGTAAGAAAATAGAAAATCACCTGTAATGAATGTGTGAGACATTGACCTGTCTAATGGGTAAAACATTGTTCAATTTACTCCATGATTTTACTCACGTGTGTACCATTTGTCCCCCCAGGATTGGTAAGGCACCCAAGGACTTGACCACGTGGCCAAGCACATACACCAAGGAGAGATAGATGATTGTCCTGTTGAAAGAGTTAAATCAGTCAGTCTACAAACAGAATCAAGAGAATTAATTGAGTAATACAGACTCAGAGTTCATACTGTTCTCAGTGCCAGAATAAATGGAATGGAAAGAGGAAGGGGTGGAGGAGGAAATAATTACCTGAGAAATGTACATAGATATAGTAATGGTAAATGAAGTAAACAGACCAGAAAAAAGAGAGAGCAACTCTTTACCCGGTAGTGTTAGAGGTAATGGACATTCCCTTCAAGCTTCTTTCTCATAAATGACCAGTCTTTTTCCCCATTCACTCCACACATACCCAGAGTATCCACAGGTCGGATTTGCAGCAAATGATATTTTAAACTACTAGAACCAGGATAATAGGATACTTCGACCAGAGGTGGTGTTATCAAGGAATGTCTTTGGCTCTAGAAATCAATAGGGATCAAGAAAAAACTGCAGGTAAATAGGAAAAAAAAAATGAGTAACATAAAGAACTTTCTCTAAACCCAACCACTGAGATGGATAGAAAGGCTCTCAGGTTCAGCCTGATCACTTGAACACTTGGGTTAATTGTAATCCTCACCTCAGTTACCTCATGTTCAGGTTACCAAGGGTAAGAAAGGAATCAGGGACTATGAATAGACTGCCCAGTGATAAAGTCATGCAGTTGGTAGGGACTTCTTATATTGTTTTTATGAGAAATCTGAATGGCAAATAGGAAGTGGAACAGTGAAGAATTCCAGGAAGAACATATGTAGAGATTTACACACTGAAATATGGCACACTACTACCTATACAATATATTCCTATGTGCATTACCATGGCAGCATTCTTTTTATATATAAGTAGAATGTTAGTACTAGAAAGAACCTTGGAAATTGTATAGTTTACACCTGTGATTTTAAAGTGTTATATGATATGCTAATGTGGAATGTAAAGAATGAAATGAAGATATCAGAGAGAGGCTAGATATGCCCTCAATCTCAGGTTGTGGATTTCTTATTCTAAATGCCTACTCTCTTTAGTTTGGCTCTCTAGGGAAGGGGCCTGAGAGGGTTTATAAGGGCAGTAGGGTATAAGAGGTTGGGTGATTAATCCAGGGCATTAATTCCCTAGGGCAATTAATATCAGAGGGACAGAAAAGGTTTTCCCAAAAGGCCTTGTAGTATCTTCTAGAGAAGAGGTTTGTTGTTGTTGTTGTTGTTGTTGGAATAAAAAGAATAAATAGAAGGGGAATGAAAAGGGACTGGGAAAAAAAGGCCAGTTATCATGAACCCAAAAGAGATGATCCCTGCTAGATCATCAGAGTAAGCTGGAGTAATAAAGTCTGAGTAGGGAGATCAGAGCCATATCAGATTGTTAGACTAAATGGATAAGGGAAGTATAAGTGGTTTAGAAAGAAAATAAGCAAGGTGAAAGGCTCAGGAAATTAATCTAGGATATGAAGATTATAAGAGAGGAAGCTAATGACAGGAGAATTTAACACAAAGAGAAGTCAAGATAGGCGTGGAGATTCTGCATTTGAAAGGGGGTCATTGAAGTTCTAACCATAGGAAAAAAAAGTTCTCTGGATAGACTTAACCAATCTTCCATTTGCAAACGAGGAAGGTGAAATCCAGAGACGTCAAAGAACCTTCCTAGAGTGACATTCTAATTAATTAGTATTAGGGTTAGGTCTAGAACTTCTACTTTCTAACTTACAGCCCAGTGTTCCTTCAGTTTTAATATAGACAAGTTAATGTGGAAAAGGAAAGGAAAGAGGGAGAGGTTTTAAGTTTTATTTCACCACCAGAGCCATTTTTTATTAGAGCGTAGGAAATGAGAAGAAATATGTACAGTAATGGCAGAGAAAGAGACCTAGCATGAAGAGGGTCAGTTCTGATGAGACAAAAAATATAGGAGAGGGAAAGAACATGCTATACACCTATTGAGAGAAAGAGAAAGGAGATGGTGATAAACACATTTAAGAGAGTGGTTGTAAGTCCAAACCAATAGGTACGAGACACCGAGCACAGAACCACACTAGAGACTATGACTAAAAATGTTGGCTGTCTTAAAAGCAACTTGACATAACAAATAGTATTCTAGCATGTAGTTAACCCTCTCAGTAGATGTTTATAGAAATCATGAAAAGCCATAACCATGCTTCAGTTTTGTTTTTTGTTTATTTATTTATATTTTAATTTTTTAATGTTAATTTATTTTTCATTTTTTGTATTTACATCCAAGTTAGTTAGGATATAGTGAGACAATGATTTTAAAAGTAGATTCCTTAATGTTAATGCCCCTTAGCCATTTAACCCATCCCCCTCCCACAATCCCTCCAGTAACCCTCTGTTTGTTCTCCATATTTATGCACGCTTCAATTTTAAAGGCAGTCACTTTAAAAATAAATACAAGTACTATGGCATTTATGGGAGTCTTTTATTCTATAATTGAATGGCTTATACTTTTTATTCTGCATACAGTACCAATTTCCTATCTGGATGGACTTGGTAACCAATATTATACAAGTAGCAAACATAATCTACCATCTTTCTCTCAAGTCAAGAAACTGTATATATTACTGTGTTATCGTTGTAGCTATATATTAAATGCTGAGTAAACACATTAGAACAATGAATATATATAAGCCAAGTGAGATATAAACTAATGTTTACTGAAGAGGATTCCTTGGAATACTAAGTCCACAAAATATCCTGAAAAAAAATTCCGTGGTGAAATAAGTTTGGGAATCACTATATACTATAACTTTCTCTTGGAGATTATACAGTGTGTATTAGCATGTTAAAGGCTATAAGAAGTCATACAGTAAAGAAATCTTTTTAATTCTGTTTAGCCTAGTATTTTCCAAACTTATTTGACCACGAGGTCTTTAACTTTCTATATTATACTCATTGTATCCTAGCCAATTTCAACAAAATGCCCTTTGAGAAATACTAATTAAGACAAATCCATAGATGACAAGGCTATGGAAAATAAGTTGGGAATGGATAGCCAAGATCCATCTCTAGCCTATGAGGATAATGTTGTAGGGGAAACTCTAACATCCTATAAATGTTTCTTCGTGCTATTTTCAGAGACTTAAAAGATGCAGGACGGAATAGATCATCAGTATAACTCATGAAAATATTATATTCTTAAGAAGGAAACCACAGAAAGAGGTTAGAGAAAAGAAACAACAAATCAGCTAGAAGAGGGACTCATAAGAATATACTAAAGGAGTCGGTAAGATTCACTCTGGAGAAGAGACAAAGAGTATCTTGAATAACTACATTGAGGCCTCTAAAATTATAAATTTTCTTGAGGGTAACAAGCTTTATCATCCCTGAGATCAGAACAGGAATTGGTCTTAAACTATAGAATGGAAGATTAAAATTAGATTTAGGAAAAATAAAAATAAAACAATTCCTGATTGAAAAGGATGAAAAAATTTTGGAAAAAAACTGGTGGTGAAGAGAAATAGTTTTTCTGTGTTGTCAGTCTTAGAGATACTTATTTGTCATGGATGACACAAGTATATTCTTGTTTGGAAGCAAGCAGCAAGAAGTGGAAAAATCTCTGCACAATTAATCTGCAATGTGGGGATGTGACCCCCCATCTTCCTTACTTGAATTTTCCCAGCCATGAGTCAGCAATGGCTGCTCCCAGGATGGGAGTGAAATAACAGAGGCTGCTGAAGGCATGGTATATAGATGTGGAGGTGTCTTCATTCCAGTGCAGGAAATACAGGAAATACAGGGTCAGCACAGCTGAGGTGAAAAGGGATACAAAACAAGACAGATGCATTAAAGTGATTTATGAAGAAGTATATTTCATCTCTGGTCTTTGAAGGTGATCTCGACCTTCAACACTCCTATCAGTGAAGGGACTGAGGGGTGACCGTCACGCAGTGGAAGCAGGGACCATGGACATTGTGGGAGTGAATGGGGCTATGCTTAGTGTACAAATGAGATATTTGTCCCTTCAATCCATGTACATACATAGCATTTAAGCCAATCACAAAGATGTTTCCAATGTCACAGCCTTCTCCTTCCTAGCAATACTGTTCACAGACCTGAGAAACAGATATTAAAATGAAAGTTTCTATACTTATATTCTTACAGACTGTGTTCTGGTTTCTTTTAGGCCTTTCTGATCTTAGCTTGTATGAGTTACTAGGTGAAATTGCATGCAGTATATATTGGCAATGTTTGCCAGAGGAAAAGACCAATTTGGATAAAGGCAGAAAGTGTGGATAAGGGAAGTAAGTACATAAAGAAGACCACATTTATCTCAACATGGGGTGAGGGTGAGTAGAGAAGAGGAAGGCTTTGGGACACAAAATTACCTTTCATGCCATAATAGGAAAAGCGCTCACAGAATTCATTCACCACAATGAAGGCAATGCTCAGTGGATAGTTGGAGCCACAAATTTTCTGTGAAATAAAAAGGCAGTGGTTCAAGCATGAGCTTTCCCCCTCTAATTAATCACTAGATTACTCTATGACAGACAAATTCATATACTTGAAATCATTATGATAGGTAATGTGAAGCAATGGCCCCCACTCTTCATGAAACAGCTATTATCACACTAAAAGTACTTACATTGCTGATTTAGGGGTAACAGAAGCTATTCTGAATATTGCTTTGTTCTTCCTTCATTTAACATGGAACTGCTCAGACATTCCTTGATCCTAGATACCAGGACCTGCCATCTACCTACATGCAGCTGAAAAGCCTGGGGCTCTGAGTAGGAGAATAATCGCACTTATTTCTAAGAACAGATCAAAGAATTAGCCTATGGAGCACCCGGCATCCAAGCAGTTACATTTAAATGAGTACTTTTAAAAAAATATTTATTTACTTATTTATTTTGAGAGGCCACAAGTCGGGGAGGAGCAGAGAGAGGGAGAGAGAGAATCCCAAGCAGGTTCTGTGCTGCCAGCACAGAGCCCAACATGGGGCTCGAACTCATGAAACTGTCAGATCATGACCTGAGCTGAAACCAAGAACTGAATATTTAACCAACTGAGCCATCCAGGTGCCCCCGAAGACGTTACACTTAGAGATCAATAACCTCCTTATCTCTTACTGTTTGAACTAACCTCTCTTGTTCCCACTGCCCTGTTCATCATACTGGGAGGATCCTGGTAATATGATGGCTTCTCATTCAGAGTCTACTGGAGCCAGGCTCAGAGCCCAGCTAGATTCCTAAAGGTAAGCTGATTGATCATCTTGAACTTAAGCAGAGAGTTCTTAAATCTTGTAACATTAAATGCCCATCTTCCTTTGAAAGTCATTCTATAACATTTTCTTGTTAATCCTATTGGACATCAAAAGGACTATAACTGTATCAGTCAGTATATAAGGAATGTCATGTTTAATTTCAAATCCCTACCCATTATGATAGCCCAGCTAACATGAGGTGGGGGAGGGAGATATCTCTACTTTGGACATTCAAATCTCATCATGAAATTTATATTGCTTTTTACACTTGATCTTAGCCAAAAGGCCGAGAAGCGATGATGAAATTTATATTGCTTTTTATCTCATAAGAAATACATGCATCTTTGTAAGCAGCCTTAAATTGTTTGGGACCAAAAGAGATATAACAAAATAAATAGATAAAGCAATAAATTAATGTTTTCATTTTTTTACCCATATGGATAGATATAAACAACCCTCCTAAATATTAATATATTAACTTGCTTAAAAGCTTCTTACTTTCCCAGCTCACAGCTTGAGAATTATACAACCTAGAGTTTAGTTAATACACTTTACTAGCTATGTAATACTGTCACTAGCTGTGTTAACATACTGACTCTGGCCATGCCACCACACCTGTCTTTATGTTCACTTCCATTTTTTCAAAGAAATAGGAATACTACCACCTCTTGGCCCATAGTGAGAACTCAGTAAATATTAGCTTTATTACTATAACCTCTCCACTTACAGGATTTTGATATGAAGGTTGAGTGAGAAATTGAATTTGAAAGTGTTTCACAAGTATATAATCCAAAAAACATTATTATTACTTCTTTGTTTCTCTGTCCTGTCTCCCACTGTAAACTGACACACATAATAACAGAAATTGTATCTATTCTAAAACTTTCTTTAGTGTCCAGCATAAGACTCTGAACACAGGGGGAACTAAGGGCTGAGTTTTTATACTGGTAAAGAAAGAACAATTACACACAGTTCTCCAGGCAAGAATGCTTGCCAAGTTTCCCTGGATATTCAAATTGCTTCTTTTTTCACCCCTAGAGAAACTCAGAATATACAATGAGATACAGCAAAATCTTGGATTCCAGCTAAAGAACTCTCACTCTCTTTTCCTACTGCTTCTTCTCCTAAGTAAAGGAAACTTCTGTTTAGACTTGGTTTTCAGGTTAATCCTAACTCCAAGTGAGAATAGTTTTTCATACCCTAATACAGCTCAGTCTGACACTCAAGAATCCAAGAAGAACCAAAAGAGCAAGGCTGTCTGTTCTTGTCAGAAGCAGAAATAAATCTGGGGACTCACCGGAGGTGGCTTCTTTGGGAGGCTGACGGGTTGAGGTGGTACCTCTTCAGTGGAGACAGGTGAAAATAGAGTTTCCTTGGACTCGTTTTTCTGGAAGGGATTCATAGCTGGCTCCTTACTCTCTCTCTCTTCTCAAACATTTGGCTTCGGTAGGCAGTTGGGACAGCTGCCAGCCTACTGTGAAAATGGGCCCTGGGAGTGGACTAGGTTTAACCCTGTGGGTGTCAGCTTCAGCAGCTGCCTGACTCAAAACAAAGCACACAGCTATAGGAAAGGGTTGGGTCTCAGAGACTAGTTCAAAGTAATGATTAACAGATAGAGCTTGAGGAAGTAAGAATAACATATCATAAGATAGGACAAGACAATGCTGGAGAATTGCAAGAGAGTGCAAAATAGCTAAGAATACCATGTCTCAAGTATAAATTTAAAAATTGATTTCAGGATCATAGTAGTTGCCATTTATTGAACATCTATTATGGCCAACAATAATATATATGTATTACATATGTTTTATATATATATACATATATATATTTATCTCTACATATCTATATTCTAATTCTTAATACAATCCCTATTTTATAGGAACTAATGTTCCAAGAGGTTGAGTAATTTGCCTAAAGTCATGTGGTCAGCAAATGGCAGGTCTGGAATTTTAACTGCCACGAGAGGTGGGAGATTTGTATCAGTAATGCCTATGGACATTATTCAGGAATGGAGGGTATGAAAATGGAAATGTAGGAATACAGGGGAATTGAAACACACTGAAGAGAGAAAGTAATCACGAAATTGAATTCAGAAAGATAGAAAAGATACTGATTTTGGTTTTCAACATAATAAAGTTCAACTAGAAACATCCTATAAACAGTTAAAGAGGTGGAGCTAAAGAAAATGAGAGGAAAGGGTTGGTGGTGTACATTTGGGAATCAGTCTTCCTGCTAAATTCAGTCCTTGTGTTTTCATCACATGAATCCATCATTTTATGAATAAATTAAATTCAATGTGAGCAAAAATTATGAACTAGTTACTTTCTAGATAGCAAACATGATTTTCATCAATACTTAGTGGATGGATTCCCAAATGATTTGGAATATAATATTTAGCCCTTATCAGTAGAGGAACATGAATAGGTATAATGATGATAGAGGCATTTTATACTCGTTGGGTTAAAAGAACAAAAAAGTATGATGACCTTCCAGTTGCCAGTGAAAAGAAAAAAGAAAACTCAGTGAGTATAAGAAAAATGAGGATAAAACCAGGAAGGAGGTCAGAAAAAAGGATAATTAATTATTTTATTTGAGAATATAAGCGAAAACCTAGAACTCTATGCTTTGCAGAATTCTTACATTAACTATAGTAGTAATATGTTGACAAATATGGTCAGAATAAACTATACCCTTCCCTCTCTCTAAATTCCACCTCAGACTTTGACCGTGTCTTCTCAGCTTCTGTTATATTCATCACCCCTCTCTCCCACCAACCTTTACCCAAAGAAGAGTCCACCTTCATTTTGGACTGTGGCATTAATGATTAACCTGTAGTTATTCTTTCAAAAAGTATTACCTTTCCTGACCTAGGTTGGTTATAACTCTAGATGCAAAACAGTCATAAGTTACTAGTCAAGTTAACCTTAAGATGCCTTGAAGAGCTGATTATCTGATTAGTGGCAGTCTCCCCCTGCTCTAGCCATATACCTCTAGAATAGCATTTGATCTGGCAGAGCATCTAGAGATACAATGCACCAGTAGACACAAAGCTCCAACTTATTTGTGCTCTTAGGTACCCCAAATACCAAAATTCAGAGTATTGGCATTGGTTCTCTGATACTTCTTTTTTTTTTAATGTTTATTTATTTATTTTGAGAGAGAGAGAGAGCAAGTAGGGGAGGGGCAGAGTGAGAGGGAAACAGAGAAAGAATCCCAAGCAGGCTCCACGCTGAACTCGTGAACTGTGAGATCATGACTTGAACTGAAATCAAGAGTTGGACACTTACCAACTTAGCCACCCTGGCGCCCCAATACTTCTTTTTTAGATGAAATTCTTCTTTTGATTATGGCCATATAATGCTAGGATTCATAGAATCAAATAATATCAGATGGAAGGAATCTTAAAATTCCCTGATGGTGAGAGTGATGCAGGGCAATTCATTCATATGTATATTTATTCATTCATATATATAATGTTTCTATATAAACCAGAAGAATTCATACACACACACACACACACACACAAATATATATATATATGTGCATATGTATATACACACACAGATTTGCAGGGCTTTTTCTTGAAAATTCTTATTCAATAGATTTAAGCAGGGATTGAAGAACCTCTGTTTTTAAAAGGCACCTCTAATAATTCTTATGACAGGAATTTAGGGAACAGTGGTTTAAAATCCCTCTCCTAGTCTATCTTACAGAATATTATGAAAGAGCTCAGAAGGGACATAACAAGGACTAGAAGAACTCTAGCTTCCTGTGGCCTATTCTAGAGTTCTATTATATATCAAGATGTCTCTTATACCTTATCATTTTTACCAAGTTGAAATCAGATAGAAGAATAAAGGAGGAAAAATCAAAGAGAAAAGCAATTCCTGAAGAGAAATGAGCACAACTCTTCAGTGTGTCACAAAAGAGATAATGACAATGGAAGAATCTGAAATATCAGTGATAAGAGTAAAAAATATTTTTGGCCTCAGTGATTATAACAGCAGAGTGATATTTTACGCTCATTTAGAAAGGAGACTGAAGCTCTAAAATGGTAAATATTAATATAGTCAGAGAAGGGACAAATATGAAATTACAAAAGAACGTGTTAAACAAGGTGTATGAATATAGAGTCAGCACACAAAAATGAATTGCACTTAAATATCAGCAAAAACAAATAGAAAAGGGAATTTAAAAAGTGAGACCAGGTACAATTGTACAAAAATACCTGGGAATAAGTCTAATGAAAATGTCCAAGACCTCAATGTTAAACAATATAAAATGTTACTGAAAGAAATTCAAGATCTAAATAAATGAAGAGACATACAATGCTCATGATTTACAAATTCATGTTTTAAAGATGTCAGTATTCCAAATCAACCTATTGTTTCAAAACAAAATCCCAATAGGTTTTGTGAGTGTAGAACATGACAAGTTCATCTTCAGAATTCATATGGGGATGCATAAAGCCAAGAAGAGCAAAGGCAGCCTTGCAGAACAGTAGTGGAGGAGTTGTACTACCCAATATAAGACCTGTTATAAAACTACAGTAATTATAACAGAGTGGAATCAACACAAAGATAGGTAAAGCAACAAATGGAACAAAACAGAGTTGAGAAGACATGCACATGTGTTGAGATATCATTAATGACAAAGGTGACACTGCAGTGCAGTGGGGGAAATGGTGCTTTCAATAAATAAACACCATCTGGATATCCATATGGAAAAAATTAATTTTAACCCTTATCTTACACCATAGGTAAAAAACAAAGCTATATAGATTGTGGATCTGTTTTTAAAAAATAAAGCTTTTAGAGGAAAACATAAGATGTTCTCTGTTAGATGTTCTCTGTGGCATATGCCAAGATTTCTTAAATAAGACATAAAAGTATGGTTACTATAAAAGAAAAACAATTGATATGTTGGACAGTATTAAAATTAAGAAGTTTTGTCCACCAAAATACACATTAAGAGTGAAAATACAATTCGTAGAGTGTGAGAAAATATTCATATTACATATATTGTCAAAGGGTTTGTGTCCAGACTATATAAATAACTCCAAAAGGCAGTAACAAAAAGAAGCATATCCAGGTTGTTTTGAGTTTCCTATTATTAATAATACTATCATAATAACCTTTTATGTAAGTCAAGTACATCTAAAGGATAAATATCTAGAAGTGAGATTTCTAAAAGTATATGTTTTTATAATTTTTATAACTGCCTATTCATTTCCTTTGCTCACTTTCTTAGTGAGTTTTTTCCCCTTCTTGTAAGTTTATAAAATCTATATTTATTGATATTAATGGTCTGCCATTGCCTGTATTACAAATATTTTTTTCTATTGATCTTGTTTTTTGGACTTTTAAAATTAAATATAATCTAAAATGCACAAATCTTAAGTGTAAAACTCCATTTTTTTACATTTGTGTAATGCACACAACTATCACCCAGATAAGATGAAATATGTATATGTATTTCTAGCACCTCTAGTGCTAAAATAATACTTGCTGATTCCCTTCTGTCTTCCAGTCAAACCCTCCTTCCCTAAGGTAATCACTATTCTGACTTATCACCATAGATTTGTCAGTTTGAATTTCATATAGATGGAGTAATACTGTTTGAATTCTTTGTGTTTGATGTTGTTGTTGTTGTTCAACACTATGTCTGTGAGACTCATCTATTTCATTGTCTGTGACAATATTTTTTTTCCTATTGTTCAGTAGAATTCACTGTACAAATATGTCACAATTCATTTCCCTCTTCTTTTGTTGATGGACACTTGAGTTGTTTCCAGTTTTGGGGTTGTTTATTGTCAAGCTGTTTAAGCTAGGAACTGTGTTTCAAAGAATTATATTCTCTGGATGGGTCTAGGCCAGAAAAACTTAAGTGAGATTTGGAAAATGGAAGTGAAGCAGTATGTTTTACTCAGAGCAGTCCAAGTCTTGTCAGAGTTCATAGTCAAATTCCTTGAATCACTAAGGCTTTGTCCTTTGCTGATGTATCTGTATGAATAGGGGAATGTGTTCAAAGTTCAGGCTGTTTTCAAGTCTTTCCAGATTTGACTTTTCATCAGGCCCTTTTCAGTGTCCTGTGCACATGTACATAGCCTCAGAGTTAGTCAGGAGTGTGTGAATAGCTTGGTGCATCTCTGGTCCCTTCTGTGCATGCACATCACCTCATCTCAAATGTCATTGCCCTAACTAGGATTGCAACCTCAGGCTCCTACCGCTAAACTCTTGCTCTTCTCCACTGACCAGCATCTGCAAGATCACTTCCACATAAAATGTTGCAGGGCATGAATGTCCCCTATTCCCACAAACTGAGTGAGTCCCCTTCATGAAAGCAGGGTAGGAGAGCTACCAACCTTTAGAAAACTTTTTTGACATTTTTTTCCATTCTTGAGTTCTTAATTTTACCCATCTCTTA